TTACGCCTTAAAAGCAGAACACTCTGTATGATTAAAAATAATTTTAGAGTAATTATTTAAAGGACCATACAAGTTTAGTCTGTATATCGTCACCTGAGAACTTGTTTGATCTAGAGACCAGAGCGCATTCAGGCCAATATCGACTCTAAGCGATTTATCTATAAGAGAAGAACTAATCCGTTTCGTCAACTTATAATTTTGTTGAATAAATACGCTATCGATATTTTTCTCGATTTTTCAACTTTAATAGATGTCTCAATTTTTCAAATTTTCAATTTCTCGATTTTTTTATTTTTGGATTTCTCAATTTTTGTCCGCTTCAATTTACGGTTTTTAAATTTTTCGATTTTTCAATTTTTCAAGTTTTGACGTTTCTAAATTTTCAGTTTTCCGATTTCTGAAGTATTTTTTTTATTTTTACATTTCTGGATTTCGATTTTTCACTTCTTCAATTCTTCAATTTTTCGATTTTTTAAGGTTACGATTTTTCGACTTGGCTTTTTAATTTTTCGATTTTTCTATACATATTTATTTTGATTTTTCGGCTTTTTTTTGATTTTCCGATTTTATACTTTTTGGATTTTCAATTTGGCGTTAAATTTCAGATTTTTCTATTTTTCGACTGTTTTTAACTATTGTTCTCGGCTTTCGACTCCTCGATTTCTTGAGCCTTTGATTTTTGCTCTCGGGCTTTTCAATTTTTCGATGTTTCGACTGCTCAATTTTTCAATGTTTTAAATTCTGGAGTTTCGATTTCTTGATTCGTCAATTTTTCAAATTTTAACGTTGCTAAATTTACAGTTTTCCGATCTCTCAATTAATCTATTTTTGACTTTCCTATTTCTCGACCTCAAAGTTTCGATTTTTTAGTTCTTCAATTCTTGGATTTTTCGACTTTCTTGGTTTTTCGATTTCTCAATTTTTGGATATTTCTTTCAGTTTTGGTACTTTTCAATAATTCCATTCTTCGACTTTTCGACTTCTGCATTTTTCGATTTTTTATTTTTTGGATTTTCAGTTTTTCGTTTTTTAAACTTCAGATTTTTCAAATTTTCGACTGTTTTATATTTCGATTTGTCAATTTTTCAACTTTTCCGTATTTTAATTTTTAAATTTTTAAAATTATAGATTCTTCGATTTCTCGAGTTTCCAGTTCTATATTTTAATTTTTCGATTTTCCGAATTTTTAAATTTACGGTTTTTCAATTTTTGAGATCCCGATTTATCAATTTTTCTATTTTTAACTTTTCGATTTTTCAATTTTGGCCTATTTCAGTTTCTCAGTTTTTCGATTTTTCAACTTCTCGACTTTCCGACTCCTGGATTTCTCGATCTTTTGATTTTTCGATTTGTCGGTTTTCGATGTTTCGATTTTTAAATTTTCCAATTTTATAAATTTTCAGATTTCGATTTTTCGATGTTGATTTTCCAGTTTTTCGATTTTTAAATTTTAGATTTTCGAGTTTTTATTTTTTTGATTTTTTGATGTTTTAATTTCTCCATTTTTCAATTTTACGATATTTTAATTTTTCAATGTTTTAAATTTTAGAATTTTCGATTTTTTGATTTTTCAGATCTTCAATATTTCTAGTTTTCAATTTTTCAAATTTTGACGTTGCTAAATTTTCAGTTTTCCGATTTCTCAATTAATTTATTTTTGATTTTCCCATTTTTCGACTTCTCAAAGTTTCAATTTTTCAGTTCTTCAATTCTTCGAGTTTTCGATTTTGCTTTATTGATTTTTCGAGTTCTCAATTTTCCAACTTTTTTAGTTTCTCAATTTTTGGATATTTCTTTCAGTTTTGGGATTTCTCAATATTTCGATTCTTCAACTTTTCCGTATTTTAATTTTTAAAATTCTAGATTTTTCGAGTTTCCAGTTCTATATTTTAATTTTTTGATTTTCCAAATTTTTAAATTTTCGATTTTTCAATTTTTTCAGATCTCGACTTATCGAGATTCGGATGTTTCGATGTTTTGATTGTCCATTCTCCCGATTTTCCATTTTTTCGATGTCTCAGTTTTTGAATTTTTAGATTTGTTGGTTTTTCGATTTTTTACTTTTCCGTTTCTCAATTTTTAAATTATCAAATTTTTCAATTCTCCCTTTTTTTTAAATTTTCGAGTTCTCGATTTCGAATTTTTACTTTTTCAATGTTTTAAATTTCAGATTTTTCAGTTCTTCGATATTTTTTAATTTTTCAAATTTTAACGTTTCTGAATTTTCAGTTTTTCGATTTTTCAATTAACCTACTTTTTGATGTTCCATTTTTCAAATTTTTAATTTCCTAGTTTTTGGATATTTCGTTCAATTTTGTGATTTTTCAGTTTTTCGATTCTTCAATTTTTCGATATTTGAGTTTTGGAATTTTTTAGTATTTTGACTTTTCGATTATTCGAGTTCTGGATTTTTCGATTTCTCGACTTTTTAGACTTTTTACTTTTTGAATTTTCAATTTTTCGTTTTTAAACTTTAAATTTTTCAATTTTTCGACAGTTTTATACTTCGATTTCTCATTTTTCAACTTTTCGGTATTTTAACTTTTCAATTTTTGAATTTTTGAAATTTTTAATTTTTCAATTTTCCACTTTTTTTTAATTTTTAGATTTTCTAATTTTTCAATTTTCGAGTTTCGATTTCTCGATTTCGAATTTTCATTTTTTTAATTTTTCAATATTTTAAATTGCAGATTTTTCGATTTTTCAGTTTTCCTATTTTTCAATTAATCTATTTTTTGATTTTCCCATTTCTCCACTTCCCAAACTTTCGATCTTCCAGTTCTTCCGTTCTTCAATTTGTCGATTTTTCAAGTTTTTGATTTTCCAATTTTTCGATTTTTTAAGTTTCCGATTTTTCGACTTTGCTTTTTTGACTTAACGGTTTTTCAAATTTTCAAATTTTTAAGTTCCAGATTTTTGGATATTTCGTCGAATTTTGTGATTTTTCAGTTTTTTGTTTGTTCAATTTTTCGATATTTGAGTTTTGGGATTTTTTAGTATTTTGACTTTTCGATTTTTCCAGTTCTGGATTTTTCGATTTCTCGACTTTTTACTTTTTGGATTTTCAATTTTTCGCTTTTTAAACTTTAGATTTTTCAATTTTTCAAGTGTTTTATACTTCGATTTGTCAATTTTTCTACTTTTCGGTATTTTAACTTTTCAATTTTCGATGTTTCGATTTTTGAATTATCCGATTTTTCAATTTTCCAATTTTTAAAATGTTCGTGTTTGGATTTGTCGATTTGTTGATTTTTCAGTTTTTCGATTTTTAAATTTGAGATTTTCGAATTTTTATTTTTTTGATGTTCGGGTTTCTCCATTTTTCAATTTTACGATGTTTTAATTTTTCAATGTTTCACATTTTAGAGTTTTCGATTTTTCAGTTCTTCAATATTTTTTAATTTTTCACATTTTGACGTTTCTGAATTTTCAGTTTTCCGATTTCTCAATTAATCTACTTTTTGATTTTCCCATTTCTCTACTACCAAAGTTTCGATCTTTCAGTTCTTCAATTTTTGGATTTTTCAATTTTTCAATTTTTTAAGTTTGCGACTTTTCGACTTTTTAATTTCCTAATTTTTTGATGTTTTCTTCAATTTTGTGATTTCTCAGTTTTTCGTATTTCGTCTTTTCGATTTTTCAAGTTCTAGATTTTTCGATTTCTCTACTTTTTACTTTTTGGATTATCAATTTTTCGTTTTTTAAACTTTAGATTAAAGATTTTTCAATTTTTCAACTTTTCAATCTCGAGTTTTCAGTTCTTTTATATTTCAATTTTTCAATTATCCGATTGTTCAATTTCCCGATTTTTAAAATTTAGAATTTCCAATTTTTATTTTTTTGAATTTTTCATGTTTGGTTTTCGCGATTTTACAATTTTTCGATATTTGAATTTTTCAATGTTTTAAATTTTAGATTTTTCGATTTCTCGATTTTTCAGTTTTTCAATACATATTTCTATTCTTCAATTTTTCGATTTTTTTAATTTTGCCATCCTGGTTTTTCGATTTTTAGATTTCCCGATTTTTTAAGTTCTCGAATTCTCAATTTTTTCTACATTATCAGTTTTGGGAACTTTTCAAATTCTGAACACTTTGAGTCGACATTGGCCTGAGCGCGTTCCGGTCTGTGGATCAAACAAGTTCTCAAGCAATGAATTATTAAATCTTTCAAATAAATGACGTCATCATTTTTTTGGTGGGGATAACTGCTTACTTTTAATACGTACACTGCAACGAATCATAAAATGACTGAGAACCCGAAAATTAAGTCAACTACGACAGTAGTTTCCAAGTTCATGTAGTTCTAAGAAAACGATATTTCCCTCATAAAAAGAAAAATAATTTTTCCCTGAGGAACAATAAAGTAGAACACGCTGGAATGTAATCAGAGAAAAACTTTACTGTTAATTGAGACCGAAGAAAAAATGCTATTATTTAAGTGTTTTGAGTTTGAACTACCAACTGTCTTTATTTATTTAATTTTAGTAGAAAATAATAAAACGATAACAGCAAAATTCTGCTCAAAAATTTATAGACGTAAAATAATGAATAAAAGTGTAAAAACACAGAATTCATTAAAAAATATAAACTAATGTATAACATAGTGTTAATGTAGTCAGAGATCATGTGATAATGCCATTTAACATTTTTAACACCGTGGTAATGGTGCTATAAATTTTAATTTATCAATCTGGTTGTGACATTAAATCAAAACATTAATGGTCTCACCTTTTTCACGAAAGGAATTCAAATCGATTAATTTTAAAACAATAAATTACGGTTTGTTATTTGCTCGTAAATGTCACAGTAGGTAATTAACACGAACAGGGAACATTAAATTTCAAAGGTTGCCAGACGACTTTTTTCTCGCTGTAAAAATTTTTTATCTACAGTAGAATGCGATGAGGGAGGAAGTGACTAGTAAGAGTACTGGGAAAAGAATTACGTGTTGCCTATATTCCAACCCACTTTTACAGCCTCACCCCCTGTCTCCTTTACCTTTCCTGGACCTTCTTCAGCCTGATCCCGTGATGCGCCAGGAACCTGTCGTTGATCTGCTCGAGGGCCATGTCGATGGCGGGCCCGCAGCGTTCCAGGTCAAACGGCGAGTCCAGGTGGGAGGCCATCAGCACCCCGATGTTGTAGTACCTATACTGGTCGCTCGCGACCTGCTGGAGTCGGGAGAAATGGGCGCACCACGACAGGAATACCAAGATGACGAGTTGAGCGTGCATTGCGACAGAATTTACATTGTATTGTAATCAAGCCAGATTGTTTATCTTAGCTGGGCCGACATTCTCGGGGTTGATTGACTTCGGGGTGGATTTAGACTACGCGCTTGTTGGAGGAATACTAAAGTGCGAAAGTTGGGAAACCACTTGCTGCGCCTGGACACGTGCTGCAGAAGCTGCACGCATGGGGGTGGGAGCGTCCCTTTGTGGGGTGGCAGGGAAGAAGGGGTGGGCATGTAGGTGTTATTAATAAGTGTAGGTGAGAATGGAGAGGATAATTTTTCGTCCTGGGTATTTTTAGAAATGTCTTGAATAAATAATGGGCGACAAAAGTTTGTCGTTTGTTAAATAATTACAGGGTGTACTCAAACTGACGTGATTGTTTTTTGGGATTAATACATATAATATATAACCTTGAAGTTGTCATTTTGTTACCGGTGCAATACACTTTAATAACTTTTATTTTTATTAAGTTCTTTCTCGAGCTTACAAAAGTTCTTTATAAAATTTACATTTTACAAATAAACTACACCAACAAAACAACGATCGAAGTGGCTAGTCGAGCTGAAGATGCACTTCACATCAAAACAGCGTAATTTCATAAGAACTTTTCTGCGTTAAATGAACTCCGTATATTACTAGGAAATTGCGTTTTTACATTTTAATTAATTTAAAGAAACAATTTCGAAGCTTTTTCGGTTCAAAAACATCTAATTAAATATAAGGATTCGCGCAAAATAAAATAAATTTCGCACGAAATTAAAATATACCCTTAAAGACTTCGTTAAAAAATGATACAGCCGGCGAAAATTATTGCAGGCATTTATTCGAGTAGGTCTTAAACCTCATAAGCCACCATTTCCAAGAAACGATGCCATTAAAATGCTACTAATAATATAAGTTAATTTTGAAGCCGCAAATGGATCCTTAGATCTCATAAAAACGGTTTATTACTTTTCAGATCCCCAGTAATGTAATTTGGCGGACATTAAAATTCATGAGAAGGGGGCTAGGATTAGTAACTTCTCCGGTACAGATGCATTTGGAAGATGAAATTTTCGCATAAAAATGGCAGAGCGGAAAGACCTTCAGACCTTGTATTACATAAAACGCCTTCAGTCACATTTGCCGGTAATGACAGCACTTTTTAGTGACAAGGTAGTTTAATAAAAACCCACTTCTAGAACACTACAAAAATTTTATTGGGGTGCTAAACAACGTATACAATGAAACTGTAGCCATACATGTTAGGCCTGTACACCATCACTATTGCTTAACTAAGAACACTCACCGGAAGGAAATATAGAACGGACGTAGTATCCCAAAATTTAATTTCGTTAATATCACAATTTTATGAGCCATAGGATCGAAAGGAACAAAATCAAAACACTGGAAGCGAGTATTATACAAACTTAAGTAGAACGCTTACATTAATTAAAAAAATTAAATGCACCAATACACGAATAGGAATGTAATAAAAAAAGCCCTACATAACTAATTAAAAAGGGGACAAAACACAATTTCCACATTAAAAAGAATGAGTGATGTGAATTTAATACTGTTCAAAGTCTTCAAAAACAAACGAGTATCACAAAAGTGAGATATAAAAACAGTCTTTGGGACCAGTCTTGAGTTAGATAAAAATTTTGGCACTTTGGAAAATCGAAATCAGAAATAGAATCACACAAATACATTGTTCAGATGTGATATCAAGAAACGATAATAAATAAAAGAGAAGGAAAGAAAATTGAACACTACAATAGTACATTACATTTAGCTTGTATAAATATGGAACAAATAAAAATTCCATTTAGACCTCCACACTTACAGTTTTACTTTCAGAACTTTCTTCTAGTTTTTTTACTTTGACTTCGGTTTCGTCGCTTTTGTCCTCATCGATCTGTACATGAGAACTCTGAGCAGCGTTATTTTCAACAGTTTCTTCCTTACCGTTCTCCACCCCATTCGCTAACACACTTTTATTTTCTTTTTCTTCGCTCTTGGTCGGAGTTTCTGTCGACGATTTCTCCTCGCCGTTCTCGACGGGCTTTTCTTCGGACGTCGATGTCTCCTCTTTCGTTTCCGAATCTCCTGTTGCAGATTCTTCAACTACTTTTGTTTCTTCGGCCGGTGTTTTGTTCGCTTCGGGTTTCTCCGTTGCCGTTTCTTCTTTTGTAGTTTCCACTGCTGCTGGTTTTTGGGTTTCCTCCACTGGCTCAGTTTTTTGTGATTCTTCTACTGCTTCAGTTTTTTGTGTTTCTTCTACTTTGTCTGTTTTTTGCGTTTCTTCCGTTTCTGTTTTTTGTGTTTCAGCTACTGTTTCTTTTTGTGTTTCTTCTTTCTTTGTTTCTTCCGCTGCTTCGGTTTTCGGCGTGTCTTCTACTACGTCCGTTTTCGGTGTTTCCTCGGCAGGTTCTGTCTTTTGTACGGCTTGTTCGGCTGGAGTTTCCTCAACTTTGTCAGTTTTTTCCTCCATCGCCGCTTCTTCTACTTTCGTTTCTTCGACTTTTGCCTTCTCCTCGGTTTGCATTTTTTCAGGTTCCTTTTCAGTGACGTCCTTTTTTGTAGGCGTCTCCTGCGCTTTCGGTATTTCTGTTGGAGGCCCTGACGTCTCTGCGACTTGTTTCTCGTCCTTATTTTCTTTTGCTTCTGTTACGTCAGGTTTCTCTTCAACTTTCTCCGCTTCGGGTTCTGCGGCAGTCTCCATTTTGCTGTCTTCAGTTATTTCTTTCATTTCGGTGTCGCCGACTTCCACTTTTGTCTCGTTTTCAGTCTTTTCCGGTTCGGCTTCTTTCACTTTTTCAGTCTCTTGTGGCTTGGCCTCACTTTCAGTTGCTTTTTCAGTCTCTTTAGGTTCTTCAGATTCTTTCTCAGCGGGTGGATCGACCTCCATCGACTCCGTTTTCTCTTCTTCTACTTTTTCTTCAGTCTTTTGGGGCTCTTTTTCTTGGGGAATTTCGGTTTTGGGGACTTTGGAGGGAGGAGCCTGCGCAACAAATAAGCACAGATATTAAATCACGAAAATCTACTAAACGAAAATAGATAAAATCTATCTATAAAGTTTTCAAGTTCATTTGTTTTCTAGGTTTCTTAATTACTTAATTATAAAGGACAGCCAATTCTGTTTTCTATTTTTGGTAAATAAATTGACACATAAATCTTTCTGGGGAAAAAAGACACCTGGTGCTTTAGTAATATTTTATTTTTTTTGGAAATGTTTGTTTACACAGAATGTGAAAAAAAAATGAATGAAGTGATTTAAATAATTTCTTTTATGTTTCCTGCTTTTCAACAGGCTTTCTTCAGTCAACTTTTAGATTTGCCTTGAAATATTAGTTTTATTAAAATTTTTGAAATTAAAAAACAAAAAACGCATTTTCAACTTTTAATATTTTTCCCATTTGGATTTAAAATATCTCTTTCCGTTGTTTTTATTTTAACCATCACCTTATTAATATTTACCTAAACCCGTATTCCCGATATCTGTACAATCCCCACAACCACAACCACTACATTATACCTCCTCAGCCGCCGCGTCCTCTTCGATCTTCCTCTTCGCCGCCTTCTCTAACCCTAATTCTTTAAAGGAACTAATCACCATAAACTCCTTGGCCGCATCTTCTGGTAAGTCTGCATTTCCCTCTCTTTTGATCAAGACAGCGGTAATGCCCCCAGTCTTAGCAGCTGTGGCTTCTACAAAACCAGAAAAAATAACCAAAACCACGCGAAAACCACAATACAACCTTTAATATCATCTGTAATAAAAACAATCTCTTCAGGTGCAACTTCAACCTCTTTAGCGACAGACTTGTAACTTTCGGCTTCAGTCTTGGAACCAACGGCTTGGTCAAAATATTTGTGGATGTGCGCGGACATGTCTCCTTGGGTGGTGTGCGTGAAGAGGAGCTTCTGGGAGTCGACGCTTCCTGTGGAGAAGATGGCAACACGGCGGGTTTTGGCCCAGGACTCGAAGGCTTCGGGGACGTCATCGAAAATGCTAAAAACAAACGCTTTAATAGAATTTTTGTTTTTCAGTCAACAGTGACAGTGAAAACTTTCAATTGTCTTCTGAGCGATGTAATGTTAATGAATTGCCGCACGAGTTTAAATTAAGATCTGCATACCAGCAATTGTCTGCAGTTAAGGCAAGTTCACGTAATTGTGCTTAAGTCGATTTTTCATTTATAAAAAATGTTCATGATATATCTCGTTTTATTCCCTTAAGACGTGGGTCTTTACGCACGATTTCGTTGGAATAACTGAAAAAGCAAGTTTTTTCTTAAGGAAATTAATTGTTTTGTTTATTACAAAAGCCACTTTATGGTAAAATCAAAGCGTATTATTAAAAATTTACAAATCATTAACAGAACATAAAGATGGATCCAATTGGTGAAGAAAATTTACTAAACGAGACATGTGTACGTTACATTTCACGGATGTGCAACGGTAATCACCAAAGCAGATTTCTTTTATGAAGTGAGACTTCATTAATTCAAAGCACACAATTCTACGCCAACTTTACAGTTCTTTGATTTGTTACGCTCATTTGTCTTTTTTTAGGAAGTAAATTTGTACCTAACAATTGCAAGCGTCATCTTAAAAACATAAATCTGATATTTTTACTTACTTAAAACACTGAAATTATTCTTGGCTCGAATTTTTCAATGTTTCATTTTTTTATTGTTTATTCGGTTTTTCGATTTTCCAACTTTGGAATTTTTTAATTTTGCAGTTTTTGGACTAAATATTTCTCGAGTTTTCAATTTTTCGATCCTTCAATTTTCCAACTTCTGGATATTTCAATTTTTGATTTGTAATTTTTCGTTTCGGTTTTTATGTTCTTAATTTTTATAATCCGATTTTATAATTTTTCTTAAGTTTTTTCAATGTTTCCGTTTTTCGTTATTTCATTTTTTCGCTTTTTCAATTTCTCGAATTAAAAAAACATGGAAAAATAAAAAATTAGAAAACGAGACAGTATAAAATGAAACTAAAAATTAGAAACCAAGAAGTTGAAAAATTAAAGAAATGAAATTTTGAAAAAACGAAATAATGAAGATTAAAGAGATCGGAAAATCAGATAATTGTGAAATCCAACAATTGCAAAGTTAAAAAATTAAAAATTTGAAAAATCGAATAAACGAAAAATTGTGATATAAAATCGAGAAAACGATAATTAAAAAATTGGGAAAATGAAAAATAAAAATCAGGAACTTGAAAAATTGAAAAAGCGAAAAAATTATGAAACCAAAACATTAAAAAATAAAGAAAATGAAAAAACAAAAAAATGCGCTCAAAAAGTAAAAAAATTGTCCAAGGTTATTTCGACAGAACTTTCCTCGCCCCTAAAGTACAGTACTTGTTTTGAAAAATTATAGAAATTTTTGTAATTTTTGTTTTCTGATAACCTCTATAAAAGTGGAGTAAATAACATTTCCACAGCTTTTTTTACTTGACTTTTTCAATTTTACACTTTTTCGATTAAATATTTCACGAGTTTTGAGTTTTTCAAATTTTCGTTTTGCTTTAGTATTCCCTTGAATTTTACAATTTTTCGATTTTTCAATATTCCGGTTTTATAAATTATAGAAATTTTTGTAATTTTTGTTTTCTGATAACCTCTATAAAAGTGGAGTAAATAACATTTCCACAGCTTTTTTTACTTGACTTTTTCAATTTTACACTTTTTCGATTAAATATTTCACGAGTTTTGAGTTTTTCAAATTTTCGTTTTGCTTTAGTATTCCCTTGAATTTTACAATTTTTCGATTTTTCAATATTCCGGTTTTATAATTTTTAGTATTTTAAATTTTACGATGGTTGATTTTTCATTTTTAAATTCCCCGACTTTTATTTCTTCATTTTTTCGTTTCGGTTTTTTAAATTTTTTCGATATCCTGATTTTATCGTTTTTCTTTTTTTATGCGAAATCTTTAAATGCTTCTTCCATTTTGATTTGCATTTTTTCTAGTTTTCATTTTAAATATGTAATAATAATTAGAAGTATAATTTTTACAATTTTACACATTTTCAGTTTTACGATTTTAGAATTTTTCGATTTTTAATTGTTGAATTTCTCCATTTCTAATTTATCAATTTTTAGATCTTTAATGGTAGTTTTTTAGACTTTACAATTTTGACCATTCTATAATTTTCGGATTATCCAATTTTTCGATGAAATATTTCTCGAGTTTTCAATGTTCCGATTTTATAATTTTCCAACTTTTGGATATTTTAATTTAAATTTGGAATTTTTCGTTTAAGTTTTTACGTTTAATTTTTTCAATTTTTCGGTTTTTCAAGATTCTGATTTTATAATTTTTCGTTTTTCAATGTGAAATTTTTCAGTTTTTCGTTATTTCATTATGTCGATTTCTCAATTTCTGATTAATTTAAATTTGGAATTTTTCGTTTAAGTTTTTACGTTTTATTTTTTCAATTTTTCGGTTTTTCAAGATTCTGATTTTATAATTTTTCGTTTTTCAATGTGAAATTTTTCAGTTTTTCGTTATTTCATTATGTCGATTTCTCAATTTCTGGAATTAAAAAAAAAAAAAAAAAATAGAAAAATGGTAAAACTGAAAAATTAAAAATGAAAAAACGAAACAGTATTAAATAAAAACCTTGAAAAAAAAACAAAAATTGGTAATCAAGAAGTTGAAAAATTAAGAAACGAAAAATTGAAAAAAAAATGAAATATTGTAAACTCGAAATACTCAAGATCGGAAATTAGGATAATGGCGAAATCCAAAAATTGCGAAGTTGAAAAGTTAAAAATTTGGAAAATGGAGGAATTGAAAAATCAAATATTGAAAATTTGAAAAATTGGAAAAATGAAAAATAAAAACGAACTTGAAAAATTATAGAATTTTTTTGTCTGATAACCTCTATAAAAATGGCGTAAATAACACTTCCACAGCTTGTTTGAATTTTTCGATGTAAAATTTCTAGTTTTTAATTTTTTGATTCTTTAATTTTTCATTTCTTCAAATTTTCGATTTGCTATTTTATTTCCTTAATTTTTACAATTTTTCGATTTTTCAATGTTCCCATTTTAATTTTTGGTTTTTTCAATTTTAGAATCTTCCGTTTCTCGATTTTAGAATTGTTCCATTTTTAATTGTTGACTTTTACCATATTTCTAGTTTATCAATTTTTCGATCTTTTAATGTCCCAGTTTTTTACAATTTCGACCATTCTATAATTTTCGATTTTTACAATTTTTGGATTGTCCAATTTTTCGATTCGATTTGTTTTTTCTTCCTTCCAGTTTTTCGATCAATTACATTTTTTTTCGATTTTTAGTTTTTCAATGTTTCAATTTTTCGTTTCACCAGTTCTTGGCTTTGCAATTTTTCGATTTTCCACTTTTTCAATTTTGCAATTTCTCGTTTTTATACTTTTTCGATTTTTCAATTTCTCAGATCAAGAAAATGGAAAAATTGGAAAACCAGAACTGAAGAAACGCAAAAGTATAGAATGAAAACTTGAAAAATCTAAAAATTGGAAATCAAGAACTGAAAAATTGAATAAACGAAAAATTAAAAAATCGAAATACTAAAAATTGCGAAACTTAAGAATCGAAAAGACGAAATATTGTTACATAATTTTTAAAAGTAAAAAAAATCGAAAAATCGAATAGTTGAGAAATCCAAAAATGCCAAATTGAAAAATCCAAGAATTAAAAAATCAGATTGAAAATTTGAAAAATTTAATAATAAACAAAAATTATAAAATCGAAAGAAACATTGAACAAATAAAAAGGAAATGAAAAAACGGGCAAATGAAAAATAAAAATCAAAAACTTATTAAATTGAAAAAAAAAATCCAAAAATTACAAAATCGAAAAAAAAAACTTATAAAATAAAAAAAATACTGAAAAAATTAAGGAGACAAAAAACGAAAAGTTGTGATACAAAATTAAATGAAAATTAAAAATAAAAGTCAAGAACTTGAAAACTTGAAACGAAAAATTGAAAAATCGAAAAACTTGAGAAACGAAAAATTGTGATATCAAAAAGTTAATGGAAAGTAAACAAATCCAGAATTTTTGGAAAGATTAAGATTAATAAAAAGACAAACGGCAGACAGACAGACTGAAAGACGGGAAAAAATGAAAAATAAAGATCACGAACTTGAAAAATTGAATAAACGAAAGCTAAAAAAAATATTTAAATAATATTAAAAATTGTGAAACTTAAGAATCGAAAAAACGAAATATTGTTAAATCGAAGTATTGAAAATTAAAAAATCAGATTGAAAATTTTCAAAATTAAATAAACAAAAATGATAAAATCGAAAGAGGCACTGAACAAAAAAAGGAAATGAAAAAACGAAAAATTGTGATATAAAATCGAAAAAATGAAAATAAAAAAATCGGGAAAATGAAAAATAAAAATCAAAAACTTGTAAAATTGAAATTCTGAAAATTCGAAAAATTGAAAACAAAAACTTACAAAATCAAAAAAAATACTGAAAAAATAAAGGAAATAAAAAATGAAAAATTGTGATCCAAAATAAAATGAAAATTAAAAAAATAGGGAAAATGAAAAATAAAAGTCAAGAACTTGAAAAATTGAAAAATCGAAAAACTTGAGAAACGAAAAATTGTGATATCAAAAAATTAGTGGAAAGTAAATAAATCCAGAATTTTTGGAAAAATTATAAAATTAATAAAAAAGCAAACGGCAGATAGACGGAAAAAATGAAAAATAAAGATCAAGAACTTGAAAAATCGAATAAACGAAAAATGAAAAAAATCGAAATATTAAAAATTGCGAAACTAAGAATCGAAAAAACGAAATATTGTTAAATCGAAGTACATACTGAAAATTAAAAAAGCAGATTGTAAATTTTAAAAAACAAATATACAAAAATTATAAAACCGAAAGAAACATTGAATAAATAAAGGAAATGAAAAAACGAAAAATTGTGATATAAAATCGAAAAAATGAAAATAAAAAATTGGGAAAATGAAAAATTGAGAAACTTAAAAATCGAAAATTACAAAATCGAAAAAACGAGGCATTCTAATATTGAAGTATTGAAAATTCGAAAAATTCAAAACAAAAACTTATAAAATCAAAAAAAAAAAAATTGAAAAAATAAAGGAAATAAAAAACGAGAAATTGTGATACAAAATGAAATGAAAATTAAAAAAATAAGGAAAATGAAAAATAAATGTCAAGAACTTGAAGAATTGAAAAAACCAAAAAAATTGAGAAAGGAAAAATTGTGATAACAAAAAGTTAATGGAAAGTAAATAATCCAGAATTTTTGGAAAAATTATAAGATTTATTAATCTTAAGGCAAACGGCAGACAGACGGAAAAAATGAAAAATAAAGATCAAGAACTTGAAAAATTGAATAAACGAAAAATTAAAAAAATCGAAATATTAAAAATTGCGAAACTTAAGAAGAGAAAAAACGAAATATTGTTAAATCGAAGTACTGAAAATTAAAAAAATCGAAAAATCGGATAATTGAAAAATCCAAACATTGCCAAATTGAAAAATCCAAAAAATCAGATTAAAAACTGGAAAAATTAAATAAACAAAAATTATAAATCGAAAGAAACATTGAACAAATAAAGGAAAAGAAAAAACGAAAAATTGTGATATAAAATCGAAAAAATGAAAATAAAAAATCGGGAAAATGTAAAATAAAAATCAAAAATTACAAAATCGAAAAAACGAGACATTGTTAAAATTGAAATTTTGAAAGTTCGAAAAATTGAAAACAAAAAATTATAAAATAAAAAAAAATACTGAAAGAAGCGAAATAAAAATCGAAAAATTGTGATACAAAATAAAATGAAAATTAAAAAAATTGGGAAAATGAAAAATAACAGTCAAGAACTTGAAAAAATGAAACGAAAAATTGAAAAGGCGAAAAACTTGAGAAACGAAAAATTGTGATATCAAAAAGTTAGTCGAAAGTAAATAAATCCAGAATTTTTGGAAAAATTATAAGATTAATAAAAAGGCAAATGGTAGACAGACGGGAAAAAATGAAAAATAAAAATCAAGTATTGAAAATTAAAAAAATTGAAAAATCGGATAATTGCGAAATGCAAAAATTGCCAAATTGAAAAATCCAGAATTAAAAAATCAGATTGAAAACTGTAAAAATTAAATAAACAAAAATTATAAATCGAAAGAAATATTGAACAAATTAAGGAAATGAAAAAACGAAAAATTGTGACAAAATTAAAAAAAAGAAAATAAAAAATCGGGAAAATGAAAAATAAAAAACTTGTAAAATTGAAAAAAATATATAAAAATTGAGCAATTTAAAAATCAAAAATTACAAAATCGGAAAAACGAGACATTGTAAAATTCGAAAAAAATACTGAACTAATAAAGGAAATAAAAAACGAAAAATCGTGATACAAAATAAATGAAAAATAAAAGTCAAGAACTTGAAAAATTGAAAAATCGAAAAACTTGAGAAACGAAAAATTCTGATACCAAAAAATTAGTGGAAAGTAAATAAATCCACAATTTTTGGAAAATTATAACATTAATAAAAAGACAAACGGCAGACAGACAGATAGAAGGAAAAAAATGAAAAATGAAAATCAAGAACTTGAAAAAGTGAAGAAACGAAAAATTAAAACTTGGAAATGGGAGACTGCTTTTTTCGTACTGTAGGGGCCACGAAACGTCGAGAAAACATAAAAGTGACCATTCGTCCGATGGACCCGATTACAAACTAAAAAATCGCGCCAAAAATAAAAACAGTTCATCACACAAGGTCAAGATACTGACACCCAGCGGAAAAGCTTGTGAAAGTCCTGTACTAAATGCTTTATTTCTGATTCGTTTCCTCTGACGTTAAGTTACTCACTTTGGTGACTCAGAACTTTCTAGGAACATTTCAGTTCCTCCAAATCATGTACTTATATTGGTTTTAATTAAAAAAGAATCACTCTATACAATATGCTACAGAAAATTTTTGGCCGAAATTGTACAAAAAATAAACAGCCTTTAATTTCAGAAAAAAGGAAACGCAAGTTTCATGACCAGAGTAGTCCAAGTATGCATACCCTTACTACCCTAATTTGATGATAGTAGACATTAATTTAATAAATTAGAGTACTAATCAATGAAGTGATCTTTAAATTTTTCATGTGAAGTTACGAGAATTTCTTAATACTTTTAAGAAAAAGCCCAATAAATTTGTTCACTTTATTAATTTCTAAATTTTTTGGGTAATAACGGGCAAATTTGAAGCCGTTAATCTTTAGGCCTCTGAACAGTCATTTAATAATAGTAATGATAACAATAATAATAAAGTCTTTACTGAAGAAAGGCGAAGGTAAATATTTAAATTAGTTAAGTAAAATTTAAATAATAAGTAGAGGTAAAAAACTCTAGGAAGTGTTCCAAATTTCGACAGTTTATATTAAATGGAAAAGTGCGCATGCGCGCGCAGTGGGGGTTTAATATTCGGTGAAACAAACCGTACTGAAAAAATATAATATATAATAGTGTGTAAAGTGATATTTAATCACCGGTATTGTTAATGAATCCACGAGTGTCTAGGAAAACAAATTTGAAATATAAACACAAAAGTGGAAAAAAATACACAGAAAAAGCAACTTTTAACAACCTCATGGTGCTCTTGCGGTAACTTACTGTGCTTTAAGATCCCCTTTTTCATAGCCTTCTTTGTACATCAATCCCTGCAAAGTCTTGAGCCCCTTGTTGCCACTGTCTTGTTCAGTCAAAGTTTTAACTTTTTCAATAGCGGAAGCCAAGTCTAAATCAGCCCCTTCCTCCTTAATAAGCTTAACGCAATCTTTAATGGGTTCTTCATCCCATTTACTAGTAAGGAATTTCTCAGCGTTGTTAGTAACAAACGGGAACAGTGTATCCTAAACAAAAAAAATACATTAACGCGAAAATAGAAAATCGAGCGATAAACATCTATTTAAAAGACCGGTAGAGTGGGTCGTGTCGTGGCATTTTGATCAAACTGTACCTAGACAAAGATGTGAATGCACCATGCATGGAACAAGGGATAAATTTTTACCTGAGCCAAGGACGACCAGCTGGCTCTCGTCGAACAAAACACGTGCAAAAATCGCCACGAAGCCCCGAAAAACAGCCCCACAAGCGAAATTCGCCCCTCGAAAAAGCGCGATGCGGTCGACCTAGGCGGCGTTGACGCGCTTTTCGCTACCGCAAAGGCCACTCGATGGCGATCGCATGAATGAAAAGCGGCCTAAAATGGCCGGATTTCCGCGGAACGGGGGCCGAAATGGGGCTCTCGGGGCCGGACTCACCTTAACGAAGCTGATGGAAGTCGTTGTGCCGGCAACGTCCACCAGCACCAGGGAACACTTCTCGATGCTGTTTAGAGAAGGAGAAACACTCTCACTTTCCGAACTCATTTCGATTGCGTTCAATGATATGATTTTCACACAACGGCGACTGTTTTTTCGGCGGATTTGCGGTTTTCTTTAAAAAAATTTAGAGATGTACAGCAACAACGGATGCGAAACAAGAGTAGTGGAAGAGTGGGGTGTTTTGCGAGGATGCGCATGCGTCCTGCGAAGAACCGCCAAACGATCTGGCGGAGGGAGACGGAGATGGACGAACGTAGTGCCAACATGAGGAAATGGCGCCAAAAATTTTAATACAATTAGGGATAAACGAAGTAGTTGGTACTCCAATCTGGAAAACACGCTTGTTTATGTGTTTTTGATTATGATTACAAACCTGGAGTGGTACTCATGTAATTCTCACAAAATAAATACGCAACATTGTTTTTCTTCAGAGTGACACTTTACATTAAGTGCACTTGTATAATGCATCCCTCCAAACAAAGCGATGACGTCATCTTAAAGTTTTTTTGTAATATAAATGTTGTAAATGTTATGTAAAAAGTGCAGTATCTCTTGCCATGAAACTCATATGCAATATTGATCGTGGTTCAGAATAATGTAACTAACTTTGGCAAAAAAGAAATGGTAACAAATCGACTTTTAAATTGTTCTAGTTCTTTGTTTCACTCAAATCCGGCTGTATTCTTCACACACATCAGTTTCTCCATTGTTGCCACTGTTCGCAGTATTTGTTTACGTAACTTTATTAATTCTACTTTTGTCACCATTTTTTCTTCTTCGTATCGGTGTTAAATTTTCTACATAATTTATAAATAATATTCACCAAAGTGACAATTTCATGTGAGCTGTACACTTATACTGTTTATTACACTGTTATTCTCCTAAATTAATTGTAATTAATAGTAATTCGACACGTAATTATATTACTAATAACATAAAACGTTCATTAAATTCTTAATTATAATTAAAGAGTGATCACTACATACTTATTTTAGACCACATTCATTTTCAGTCGCTCCTGTGATATACATTACGTGCATCAACTAATTACTTGTAATTAATTATGATCAAAAAATTAATTTGTTTTACTAGTGTATTAATAAATAACTTAATTCTAGATCTAGTGGATTTTTGATACAAAATGCAGATAAGTTCAATTTTTGTATTCACAGTTACACAGTTCACAATTAAATCTGGTTACCCTTTCACTCGTGAACCAACATTTTAGTCACACGTGGTCAGCCCACTGGAACGGAATGCGTGTGAAAATAATTGTATTCCATTCCAGTTGCACACACAGCCTTTTCTACGACCCGCTAATAACACGTAAACGAAGCTTGTGTTAGTAGCACAATAACAACATTATAAAATTAATTCACAACACACCTTTGTTTCGCATAGCCTCGTGCGACTTTAAATTTAGTTTTCACGCTTGTTTTTTGATTGATCAAATAAAATTCTGTCGAAAATGGCATGTATGTATATTTATATAATTATGTATATATAGAGAGTGCATTTTACAATCGTAATACATACAGTGTGTTCACCTATTAAAATGTAACACAAAATTTCGTATATTAAAACCAATTACAAATATATACAGAGGCATTTCAATGAGAACATTCGAGTCGAAAATAACGGATCGAGCAAAAGCGTCCGTTCCGTGTAGGTATGTTGCAAAAATGACAAAATCTTCCAATAAATACGCATGTAAAAAAACTTAAATTATAACGAATAGTAGTAACCTTTGCTATAGTTGATCATTTTCGTCTTTTATAAGTTAAATATTTATCACTATGGCTTGCAATTAAAAGTACATCTGATTACAATATCGTAAAACTACTTCTCTAGACACAAATCATTTTCAAACTGGCGTTTTTAGTACCGTGGAAGTGTTTAAAGCTAGTCTAATTAAACAAAAAAAAAAATGGCAAGAGAAGATGATGAGTATTTGCGAGCGTATTGCACAATGTCATGAATAATTGACTTGGATGGGCCATCCAAAGTGTTAATTCAGGAACACCCTGTATAGTTTTAGAGCTACCATCTAAACAGTGCAGATCTACCGTATGTATACACAAGAATAAATAAATAAATAGTGTTTCAGTGTAACTGGCACTAAAATGAATTACACAGATCAAAATAATCACAACCATTTAAAACGTAAGTACGTGATGTGTCGACTAAAAACGCCAGGATTATACTAGTAAGATATTAATACTTTATATATAACACAATAAAAACTATCGTCAGTCTTCACAGTTATACAAATACGCCGTTATTTGAAATGTTCAACACTGTTTATAATCTACGAAATAATCAACTGACCGAAAAATATAACATTTACACAATTTTTTCTGCTTTAGTCCGTTGAATTGGTCACAATGCGCTTGCGCATTTATTATTTATTATCTTCAGTGTCTACACCAACATATAAAAAACTGTACACCACCAATTCATGTTAAAAATAAACGAATCGAATGAAAATATTGTCAGGTTTCAGTCGGCGGTTTAGGAGATTACTAAAATATACACAATAAATTCGAGGACTGGATGGCTGGATCGGGGATTTCATGGATTAGGTGAATTATTAAAGCGGGGCTTAGCACGTGGAGTTTGATGTGTTCGTTGGTGGGGGAGGTCTCAACAACACTAGAAAAACGATCGCCGTTTACTATTGTCAGTTCATGTGTAGGGCCCGCGAAGGTAAAACGGTAAAAAAACAAAACAAAAAAAGTATCCACATTGGCTATGAACAAATCGTCGCAACGGTGGCACTTGTCAGAAAAGTTGGGTTACGATTACGAGAAACGTCAATTTGTGGACATAGCACGCTTGATTGGACGTATATTAAAATTAATTGTACACCAAACGAGTATTTAAGACAATAGTGATCCTAATAAAATATACACAAACTAATCTCGTCAAAGTTAAAGCTTAGAAATAAATGTTTAATCTCTAATTTAGCAACTAATGATTTACGAAAGACAATTGGACATTTTGTGAGAACAGCAGTAAATGTGTTAATGGCTTTAATTGCAACATGTCTTTAAATTCCCAGAACCTTGAAAAAATAAACACACTAAAAAACATTTTAGAGCACATGAAGAATTCAAGTCTGAAACGTTTTTATTCTTTGAGCTTTGTTCTAATAAATGAATAGTGACTTTTTTAGCCTTTTTTCGTGGATTGCAGTCAACTTGATAAAATTACATAGACGGATGGAGAAAATCCCAAAAATATGAATTAGGCCCTAAAAATCTAAAATTTTAATGGACGAGCTACTTAAGAGTTAATTTCGCAGGAAATCCTTTTGATATTGAAGAATTTCCACACTTCATAGCTTTCCAATACATAAATCGGAACTTGTCGATTTCTATATTACATAAGTATTATTTTTAAAGAACGAATTACGCATCTGATGTCAGGATATAATTACGCAATAAATGTAACAATCTTAAGAGTGCATAATTAATGTCAGCAACATGTTTCGCGTTAATAGCATCTTCAGGTCGACAAAAGAAACTTTTGGGGTTAAGTCGGGTTCACGATTCTGACAGCAAACGGACTTAAGCTGTATCGTTCTTGTTATTTTTTTCATTTACCTTCTCTTTTCTTTTTAATCGTTTCATTTTGAAAGTATGAACAAAAAATAAACTGTACTCTTGTGAATATTTAACCAAATAATTTTAAAATCGCCACGAATCTTTGGTATAAAAAGATAATTATTCAATATAGAGAGAGATATGGAAAACTGCTACTAAAATTTTCACCATCTGATCGAAAAAAAGTCGTGTAGCAACCTTTGAAATTTTACGTTAAAAAATTATACTGACTACATTTACATCTGACATTTACGGTCAAATAACTGTCGAATAAAGTGGCACTGCCAACGTCATTATTAAAAATATATATATATATGCATATCATAGCTTACTAGACGACTTTTTTATATCTTTCCGAAATACCAAATCATCATATGTGTTTTTTTTAATCTCATAGTATCTAATTAGACTAGAAACAGACTATATAATACTGAGACATTTTAAAAACACAAATTTTAAGCAATTTTCCTGAAATTAATACTTAGTATTTTCAAAATATAACGTTCTATCCTTGTCGCACACTCTTAAAGTCAACCATTCCAGAGCTATAAAACAACTTGTGCATAAAATATATAAAAAAAATCAAATCAAATTGTGCCTAAAATTTTTATCATCCCTTTTTTTTGACAAGTGCTACCTGCAACCCCCGGACCTCCACACCTGCGAGCTGCCGCGTCCACCCCTTCCCCGCCCATGGTAAAATTTCGCTCTACAAAAATACCATCCGTACCGATATCCATCAAAAACCCATCACAAAAATATAGCCCCCGCACGCACCCTCCCCCCTCCTAATCCACCCCCTCCGCCGTCGCGAGAAAACCGCCGAGCGAAAATCAGAAGTGGGAACAATAATTTATCTTAATCGCCTAATAGTTACCAATATTTATATAAAATTAGGATAGTTTTAGGTCGTATGTGACAGTACACACAGGGGGACACGTAACGTTCTTTTATCTGTTAAATCTTATAGACATCCGTAACATTTTCATCGCATCGCGAACACCACCGTGACCGCGCACAACGCCACCAACGCGCACACACTTCGCGGGGCGGGGGCGGCGCCCAGCGTGAGTTCCTCGCTCTTCATCACTTCGTTGGGATGCTTGTTGTACGTCTTGGCCTTCTTCGTCGTCGTCGGCGGCGGCGTCGTCGTTGTCGTCGTCGTCGACGTCGTGGTGGTGCGCGGCGACGTGACCGGCCACCATCGGGACGCTGTCGCCGGCGTCGGCGCCGACGTCGTCTGCGTGGGGCCCCACACCTGCGAATTTCAATTTAAAATAAACATGAAATGTATTTTTTCAGTGCTTTGCCCCGTTACCTTGAAGACGATCTTCATGTTGTGCGTGGTGCACCGGCCGCCGATCCGCCGGTGGAGGTCGTCGCTCGTCGACGTCGAGATGAAGTAGTAGTCGTGGCCGGGCAGGAACTCCAGCCCGCCCGGCTGGGGCGTGAACGGCCTGAAAGTGATCGTGAAGTACATCAGCTTGTAGGGCTTGTCGCAGACGGCGATGATCCGCGGGTTGGGGTTCGTGATGCGGCAGGTCTCGTACTCGTCCTTGCTGACGTTGTAGATGATGTACTTCTCCATCTCCTCGTCGCGGGTGCCCGGCACGTACACCGGGCAGATCAGGTTGACCTGGTCGTACTCGAACTTGAGGTTGTAGCGATTCACGTCGATGATGTTGTCGGTGTTGTCGATGCGAAAAATGGGGTTCGACGAGTTCCAGTGGATGGTGTAGAACTTGGCGCTGCTCGGGATCGTTGCCGTCACGAAACTGTGTAGGCTGAACGTGAGGAGGATTAGGCCGTTGACGAGGACGCTAGCTTGCCAAACCATCTTGTCTTGCTTATGGTGAGCGGACGATACTTTACATGTCTTCGTGGAGACGAGGCGGCTCAACCTGAAGCAAAGCGAACGAGATTTAGTATTTTTATTACTGCGTAAAATGTAGATGAGACGCCTATGGTGCGTATATCATACCGCGTGTTCGGAACGGTCACATACGCGCGTGAGAGGTGCTGATACAAATAAAGACAGTGGTTAGCTGCAGAGGCACGATGTACTCGAGTAGTGGAGGAAAGGGCCATCGAGCTAAGGAGTTCGAAGAAATAGTGGATATTAGAGATTGTTAACAACTTGTAGTATGTACAGTGGTTGTAATAAAATTGTTAAGTACGGATTTCGGCCATCATTGAAAAGCCCATTCCAACCCTTAACCCTTGTAACAATATGAGATAACGATTTAAAAAGCCGCTATATTAAATTACGTTGCACATGCTTTTAATTCTAAATTTGAATTTCAAACCTGAATAATAATTCGTAATAAATATGTTGTACGTAATTAAAATCCACACGACCTTAATTACAACTTTTAAATTACTTAGCCATCCTTAGTGTTTATTACTTTTCAAACGTAAGCTAAAATATCGGTCTTCCGTTTCCGCATGTCTGTCTGTTGGCGATTTTATTATAAATATAGCTTAAAAATTACAATGCTGATTGCTATGGAATTTTAGGTATGCTTGAAGATTATCGTTTAAATAGTAAAACACTAAAATTTTTCTGTTCATTCCCACTAAAAAATTGATGACGTCATGTCAAAATTTTGCTAAATTAGACAGCAAAAATTTATATAAAAATTGATGACGGCTTCTTACAATTTGGTCGAATAAATGTTAGTTAAATTTTATAAAATAAGATAGTCCTGCACTTGCGGTCTATGAATCCGTGTTCAGTTTTTAACCCTAGAGATCCCTATGTTAGGGGAAAAAAATCAAAATTGTACAATAATTTACAATTTAACTTTGGAAGCGGAAAACCGAATTAGAAAAAACTTTCAGCAACATAGTATTTTAATTAATATTAACAGAATATTAATAAAATCGTATTTCTTAAATTTTCAACAACAGAAGGATAAACATTCGCATTCTTTAACTTTTTGTTCAATTTATCACTGCTACATAGTTATATTCAAGCTCGAACTGAAGATGAACATTTATTTCCAAAACTCGGCTTCGATGTAATCTGTTGTATAGCATAGGATCGAGAAAAAACCTGTATAATACTCCAAATCGTCAATAAAAATTTGATGGCTCCCCCAAAAATTGATGACGCCATCTTACAATTTAGTCGAATAAATGTTAACTAAATTTTGTAAAATAACATACTACTACATTTGTGGTCTATGAACCCGTGTTCAGTTTTAATTTTATATATCCAGATGTTTGGGGAAAAAATCAAAATTATATAATATTTTACAATTTAACTTTGGAAGTGGAAAATCGAATGATTCAAAACAGGATTAGAAAAAAATCATAGTTGGTAAAATCAAAATTTATCATTCATATAAAAAAATATTAATGGATCGCCGTAAAATCTTTATTATAACAGAAATTTAATCAATATTAAAGAATATTAACAAAATTGTATTCCTTAAATTTTCAACAACATAAGGAAAACATCCACAATATCGTTTCTTTTTTAATGTTTTGTTCATTTTATCACTGCTACACAGTTATATTTTATCTCGAACTGAAGATAGACATTTATTTCCGAAACTCTTTAAATGTAATCTATTTTATAGCACAGGATCGAAAAAAAAGCTGTTTACTCGAATTCGTTAATGAAAATTTTTCCGGGTATGGCTCCCCAAAAAATTGATGGCGCCATCTTACAATTTGGTCGAATGTTGATTAAATTTTATAAAATAACATACTCCTGTATTTGTGGTTTATGAATCCGTGTTCGGTTTTAACCTTACATATCCCGATGTTTGGAAAAAAAGCAAACTTATATAACAGCATTTTACAATAATTTAACTTTGGAAAAGGAAAACCGAATGCTTCGAAACAGAATTAGAAAAAAATTGGCTTTAAAAAAATCAAAGTTGGTAAAATCAAAATTTACCACTCATATAAAAAACTATTAATGGATCGCCGTAAAATCTTTATTATAACAGAAATTTAATTAATATTAAAAAATATTACCAAAATTTTCAACAACACAAGGAAAAACATCCACAATATCCCTTCTTCTTGAATGTTTTTTTTCATTTTATCACTGCTACACAGTTATATTTATAGAAAAAAGCTGTATACTCGAAATTATCAATGAAAATTTTTCCCTTTAGGGCTCCAAAAAAAAAAAAAACGCCATCGTATAATTTAATCGAATATTGATTAAATTTTATACAATAGTACACTTCTGTAGTTGTGGTTTATGAATCCGTGTTCGGTTCATAACCCTAGATATTCAGATGTTTCGCGAAAAAATCAAAATCGCATAACATTTACAATGTAACTTTGAAAGCGACAAACTGAATGGTTCGAATCAAGGTTAGAAAAAATCGAATTTAAGCTGAGATAGATTTTGGTAAATGACAACAATATTAAGAGTAATGACTGGAATGGAGAGGGGGTGGGTGGGCGGGCCTATTGTTTTTTTAATAAAAGATTCTCTATGCAAAAGTTAAACTTAACCCCACCCACCCACCCGTCTCTCATTTTTTTCTTCAGAAAGAAGAAATAAAATTTATAGCAAATTAGTAGAACAAAAAAAAAATACGATTCACGCTTCTTTTTAACAGCCTACGGTCCATTAGTTCCCATTCTACCTTTACAAAAGAACATATAATTCGTACCGCCCACCCACCCGGCCTCCATTTCCGTGATTCATTTTGTCTAGCCCGAATGAAAGGTAGATCGCAATTGAAGAGAGATAAAATCGTTAGAATGCGGTATCTGCTAAGATAAGATTGATTTTGGTAAAAAACATACCCTCTAAGAATATAGAGGGTGGGTGGGCGGGGCTAGTACTTGTTAAGATGAGACTGATTTTGGTAAATGACTGAACAATATTAAGAGTAATCACTGGAATGAAGAGGTGGTAGGTGGGCGGACGGGCCTATTGCTTGATTATAAAAGATTCTGTATGAAAAAGTTAAACTTATTTTTCATTTTCCCAATTTTTTTAGTTTTCATTTTATTTTGTATCACAATTTTTTGAATTTTCAAAATTTCAATTTTACGATGTCTCGTTTTTTTCGATTTTATAAAAGTTTCTCAATTTTTTTTTTTCAATTTTATCTTTATTTTTCATTTTTTCCGTCTATCTGTCCGCCGTTTGTCTTTTTATTAATCATATAATTCTTCAAAAAATTCTGGATTTATTTCCTTTCCGCTAATTTTTTGATATCCCAATTTTTCGTTTCTCAAGTTTTTCGATTTTTCCAGATGTTTTGGAAAAAATCAAAATTGTATAACAATGTTTTATAATTTAACTTTATAAGCGGAAAACCGAATGGTTTGAGCAGGATTAGAAAAAAATCAATTCATTTTATCACTAATACACAGTTACATTTTATCTCGAAGTGAAGGAAATTTTTCCGTTTATGGCTCCCCAAAAAAATGATGACACCACTTTGGTCGAATGTTGCATAAATTTTAAAAAATAGCATAGTTCTATAGTTGTAGTTTATGAATTCGTGTTCGGTTCATAACCCTAGATATTCAGACGTTTGGGGAAAAAATCAAAATGGCATAACATTTACTTAACTTTGAAAGCGGCAAACTAAAGGGTTCGAATCAAGAATAAAAAAAATCGAATAAAAAAAATCAAAATAAAACAAAAAATAAAACGGAAATTAAATTAATATTAACAGAAGGATAAACATTAATATTTCCTCTTTTTTTAAATCTTTGTTCAATTTATCACTGCTACACTGTAATTCACTTTATACCATAAGATCGAAAGAAAAAAACTTGTTCAGATGAGATTGATTTTGGTAAATGACTGAACAATATTAAGAGTAATGACTGGAATGGAGAAGGGGTGGTGGACGGGCCTATTGTTTTTTTAATAAAAGAGTCTGTATGCAAAAGTTAAACTTAGCCCCACCCACCCACCCGTCTCTCATTTTTTTCTTCAGAAAGAAGAAATAAATGTCATTGCAAATTAGTAGAACAAAAAAATTACGATTCACGCTTTTTTAACAGCCTACGGTCAATTAGTTCCCATTCTACCTTTACAAAACAATATATAATTCACCCCGCCCACCCACCCGGCCTCCATTTCCGTGATTCATTTTGTCTAGCCCGAATGAAAGGTAGATCGCAATTGAAGAGAGATAAAATCGTTAGAATGTGGTATCTGCTAAGATAAGATTGATTTTGGTAAACAACATACCCTCTAAGAATATAGAGGGTGGGTGGGCGGGGCTAGTACTTGTTAAGATAAGACTGATTGTGGTAAATGACTGAACAATATTAAGAGTAATCACTGGAATGAAGAGGGGGTGGGTGGGTGGGCGGTCCTATTGATTGTTTATAAAAGATTCTGTATGAAAAAGTTAAACTTATTTTTCATTTTCCCTATTTTTTTAATTTTGTATCACAATTTTTTGAATTTTCAAAATTTCAATTTTACGATGTCTCGTTTTTTTCGATTTTATAAAAGTTTCTCAATTTTTTTTTTCAATTTTATCTTTATTTTTCATTTTTTCTGCCTATCTGTCTGCCGTTTGTCGTTTTATTAATCATATAATTCTTCCAAAAATTCTGGATTTATTTACTGTCCGCTAATTTTTTGAAATCACAATTTTTCGTTTCTCAAGTTTTTCCATTTTTCCAGATGTTTTGGAAAAAATCAAAATTGTATAACAATGTTTTATAATTTAACTTTGGAAGCGGAAAACCGAATGGTTTGAGCAGGATTAGAAAAAAATCAATTCATTTTATCACTCATACACAGTTACATTTTATCTCGAAGTGAAGGTGAAATTTTTCCGTTTATGGCTCCCAAAAAAATGATGACACCACTTTAGTCGAATGTTGCATAAATTTTATAAAATAGCTTATTCTATAGTTGTGGTTTATGAATCCGTGTTCGGTTCATAACCCTAGA